CAGAAAATGTATATTGGAAAGTGGAATATGGACTAGGTAAAAGAGCAAGACTCTTATCTTACAAAGCTCACAATAATTGCAATAGAATGTTTTTGAGAAACACAAGGGATAATGTGAATCTAAGGAATAACCTCTTATCGAATTTCTTCCTTTCTTTTTCTATCATTTACTTATAATGAAATATATTAGTTAATTTAATTGATTCAGAAGGAGAAAGAGCTTACCCATCAAGATAGGAGGTTACTGAATCATTTTACAAATATTCAAATCTTTTTTTTTTCACTTAATTCTGTAATCTAATTAATTGATTCAGATCATCCTAAGATGATTCACCTAATAATTCTTTTCTTTATATTTTCCTTCTTATTCTTATAATTAACAATTTCTAGTTATTGTTAAATTTAAGAATTTTGTTTTAAATATTACGAAATTTCTATTAGATAATCAAATATGAATGTATTAGATTAAAGTTTAAAAATAATAAAACATGACTTATTTAGTTTTGAACCTTCTCCATATCTCCTAAATTCATATTTGAATTTAGATGAAAAAAATCTCGTTTTCCTTATTTTATTCTTTGTGCTAAATTTACGATGATGAGTATATAATTAGAATTAGATGCATAAATAGAAGTATAATCAATGAGTTAATTTATTTTAAACCATTAAAACTATCTTGTACATAAAAATATAGCTTTTGTTCTTACTTTTTAATGGGTAGAAAAAAAACAATAAGAATTCTAAATTCAAAGATCTTTAGATGATGTATAAGAGGAGAAATTCTTTATAAATAAAATTAGTCTGCTTCACATGAGGGAAGATTAGACCTTACATTATCAAAAATAAGGAAACATAATTTTATTGAATTTATTATAACCTAATAATTTAATTTATAGCTAAAAATGGCATATAAAATAGTAAATCTTAAACTGCTATTTTTATGAGAAAAATAATAAAAAATATCAAAATAATTATGATCATCATTGTTTATTCAAGGCAAAAAATCAATTCAAAACAAAACTTTTATGTACATCAAATCAACAAACCTTGTCTCAGTGTTATTGTAGTCAAAGGTTTTCCTAAAATCATGCAAGAATATTCATCAACTTATCTCCGCCTAAATTTTTAAAAGCGGATCAGAATTTCCTATTATCTCTCCATTATGTACACAAAAAAATCAAAATAAAAGAAAATAATGCCTACTTGTTAAAATGTGATGAAGTCTTATGATCAAACCTAGGGATAAATCGAATTGTGACCTAAATTTAAAAATTTTTTATAAAATAACATCAATAATGGTTTTCATCAAATTTAATTTATTTAATACTTTATTTCTTACAGTTTCTATGAGAAAATAATGGGAAATGTCAACTATTGTTTATATTTTAAAATAACATCTTCAATCTATAGAGATATAATAATCAAAATTATTTTGTGTTAATCTAAGAGTAATTATCATTTAATTTATAGTTTAATTAGGTTAATCAAAAAAGATGGGCTATTAATACTTTGAACAAAGAATTAGAGTTCAATTTTTGGAGTATTCAAAAAAAATATTATCAAAATTAAGCATCATAACATAAGTTTCAACTTTGGTCATAATAATTCTATTTATAGAATAAAAAATTTGATTATAAAGCAGAATGGGTTGACTCTATTTTCAAAACGTGCTGATTGGAGATAGAACTTTAACATCAAACATTCAATATACAGATATGGAATACATCTGGAAAGTACGTAGCATGTTGTTTTTGCTGAGATTTATTGACATAACACAAGTCAGTAACTCTAAAAATATCTTCAATGTTTACTCTCATTTTATTTTATAAAGTAATATTAATTTACTACTGTTTTTTTTATACTTTTTTTTCTTTGGGGAATTAATTAATAATCTTAAACACTTTTTTAACTTTTAAATGCTTTGAATAATTATTTTACAGTCATATTTAGTTGAATAACCTTTTAATGAAATAATTTTAGAATTATTGATTAGTTTAGTTCTTCTAAAATAGGTTTAACAGCTTTAATGAGTATTTTAGTAATTTCCATCTTAATAGTCACTATAATCAATAGTTCGATTATTTATTTCATATTGATCTTCAAATTATCTATCTAATCATATCAATAAGGAAATCGGAACCATTATTAATTAATTTCTATTAATACACCTGAAAATTATTCACCAGTTTGATGTGTTTAAACAATTAGTAATCTAGAGAGTAAAATATAAGTATATTTTTTGTAAAATTTAAATTTGTATCGAATTTTAAATTTTTTTAAAATATCTAAATTAAAATAAAAAAAAAATAACTAATTTGATGGGTAATGCCCCCCAATTTGCTTAAAAATTTATATGTAAAACAAAAAGGAAAATATAGAAAAAATCTAATTCAATAATTAAATAAAAAGATCGTGAAATAAAAAACAGAGATAACATTTTATGCAAGTTTTGGAATGTTCCTTTTTGGTGAGTAATAAGTATGAGTCATTCCATCAAAAAAAATAAACCAATAATCGAATTTCTATTATATAAAAGGACTGAACAAAAATAATATTAAAATTTACTAGCAAAAGCATCAGATTTTTCAATTAAGCTTATAATTATTAATTGATATCTTTAAGATTATGTAAATAATTTTCTATTTTTTCCTTTAAAAAAATTAGCAATAAATTTATATTCTAATAATTTTTTTAGCAAATCTTCTTTTTGGTTTAAGTTTTCATATATCACAATAACGATTTAGTATTCCAAAAAATTACTACTCAAAATTATTCAAAAAATAAAACAGAATTGAATGAAATTTGTTTAATTGCCTAATATTAAGAATAAAGAATTAAATATAGTTTAACAATGTATGTAATTATTATTATTATCATTCATATATCCAAAAGGAAATAAACAATCTGCATTAGATATTTAACCTGATTATGGGATTAGATATAATGAAAATTAGCCTATGCTAATTATAAAACAGTCAATTATACATAGTTGGATATACAAATTAATAAACATTAATCATACAAGTTGATTTACAATTCTACCAAAAATTAAAATAAATATCTATCACATATAGCGTATTAATTACGATTAATTCAATTATACCGAATCTTTTGTAGTTTTATTCGAATAAATTACATTATAATTGAAATGTAATTTATGCAAGAACTTAAACACCCATCACACATATATCTAAATTTCATAATTAATGAACTAGATCCTTGCCTAATGTAAATAAAAGTTCTGAAAGGAAGTTTAAACATGTAATTTTCAAGGTATACATGTAATATTTACCAACCTCTAAATTTTAATTAAATTCTCTAATTTCCATCAACAAGATGTAGAATTGGTATCGTATATTAAATAAATCTAACATGGGTTTATACAACTTTAACAGTTTAGGTGTATAATTTATTAATTTCATTTTTAATAATCAACTCTTTAAGTGAGATCTAATTATCACTCAAATTTATTATTTAAATGATAAAAATTTGATTTTTTCATATCAGTCAAATTTTGTTGTTAGGTACTTATCTAGAATTAAATTTATATCCTGTTCTATAGTTTTTATACCCTCTCCATTAATATTTTCTATTGAAAAATTAAAAAAAATTAGATTTGATTAATATTATTTATAAAAATGGGGAATTCTTGTATGGATAAGCGTGGAAAGAATAAACTTAAGAATTTAAATTATTAAATAATTGAAGGAATTTTAGAATAAGAATGTTTATATTGGGATACTAATTTAAACAAATTTCTAAGGACTAAATTCTTCGTAACACAATGTAAGAATAACAAAATCTCTTATATATCTAAAAATGGATAAATAATGCGAATGTAATCGTTTATTTCAAATTAAAATTAGTGACCAAATCAGAGATCAATACCTTTAATATAAAATCCTTACTAATATAGAACATATAAAATTCCTTAAATGGATAGGTTAATATGGAAATAATTAATAAAAAATTGGAAGGTGGAGAGCTTTTTGGCAAGGTGAAGCTTTAATTGGTATTGGAGGAACATACTTAGATGATGGAAAAAAAATAGGGACAATGGCATGAACTATACTAAAATTACTCCAAGTATTCATAATTTTAATTTAAAAAGGAAATTTTAAGTGTGTGAATTTGGAGAATATTTAAATGATTAAAGAATCAAATAATGGAAATACAGCCTTGGGAATGAAGAAATGTAAATTATAAGTAGTATATTAGTGGGGGTGGATTATATGATGATTAAGGAAAGCAAGGATAATGGATTGAATTGGCCAATAATTTTTAAGTGTAAATATGAAAAAAATTTATAAACTAGTCAAAGTTAAATAACTTTAAATGGTGAATATAAAAATGGAAAAAAAATTGGCAGATGGGATATCTATTATAGAATCAAAAATCATTAATAATTTTAATTAATGTATAATACTATTTGTTAAATGCTCTTTATATCTTAGTGGTGGTGGAATATATGATATTACAAAAGATAGAGATTCATTTAAAGTAGGTAAATGGTTAGAACCTAGTGAAGGATTTCATAGGTAAGGTTTTTTATTTAGATTAAATGTTTTAGTGGTAACAAAGTCATGTACGCAGGAGAATATAAAAACGGTATCAAAGTTGGGAGATGGGAAATTTAAAGGATACAATATTATACTGGACTAATTCTGTAAATGTAAGTATATTCTCTTTTAAATTTATTTTCCTTAATATTAGTGGTGGTGGAGAATATGATGATAAATAAGAAGCCAAAAATCATCTTGGTAGTAAAAATGGTAAATGGTTAGAGTTCAATGATTTGCTTCAAAAGTACATAAATAATAATTATTATGATTAGTTCGTGCCAAG